GCCGCCCGCCTGGTGCGCGCTGCGCTGGCCCCGGGAGCCCAGCCCGGCTCCTCCCCGGCCCCGCCTCGCTCGGTCCTGCCCTCCGCGTCTTCTCTTTCTTCGCCCTCACCACCTCCTTCTCCTCCTTGCTTCGCTCCGAACGCCGCCCCACGCAGCCCATAAATCCATCAAGAAAGGCTGCGCCGAGTGGGTTAGTCATCAGTCCCCGGGAAGCGAGCAGCAGGCGCCCGGGCCCGCGGGAGGCTGGGGACCCGCCGAGGTGTGCGCAGCGGGTAATTACAGCCTGGGCTCCAGGAGTGTCTCCGCGCAGGGCACTACTCTAGGGACGCTTTCCAGGCATTCTCCTTTTAATCCTCGCACCAGCCCTAGGGCCATTGGGAACCTATTTTAGCGATGATGTCAAGGAGCCGCAGGGTGGGAGGTGGGGGCTTGCCGACTTGTGCAAGGTCACCGAGCAACAGGCCTGGGGTCAGATCTAGGCTCCAGCGTCGGGCTCAGTCTAAGCGAGACTGCTCCCATCGCGCGCCACCATCGGGCCGCGCACCCAGGATGCAGACGCCTCCTCCCTGTCTTGACTAGGCAGGTTCGCTCTCCCTCCCGCTCTAGGCCCGCGCCCATGCAGACCGTGTTGCATGGGCCCGCAGCTTAGTGGGGGTCTCTAAAGGGGTTGCCCGCACATGCCAGTCACGTCTGGGTTTCCAGCGGTGTGTCTGGCCCTGGCGAGATGCCACGCCCGCCTCTAGGCCTCCCACCTGGGCGTCTATCGCCGCTGCTTCCCTCGGCCTCCACGCTGGGTTCCCCTCCACTTCTGTCCAGTGCACCTTTCCCGGCACCCTTGCAGGGGAGCCTGGGGCAGGCGATGCTGGCCACACGCCCCTGGAGCCTGGGGACGCTGTCTGGGCTCTGCCTTCTCCTCAGCACCTTCCAGAATGTCTGCCTGGACCCAGCGGGCGCTCCGAAACGTCTGCTGAGCAAATGAATGAGTGCTGTTGAATGCGCGCTTTGTGCCTGCCCGGAGCTGGGAGGAGGGATCCAAGAGTGAAAGGCACAGACTCTGTGCTCCAGTTCAAGGTCTCCGGACAAGTCAGGAATCGTGTCATGGTCATTCTGGCTTCCGTGCTCAGCTCAGCGTGACTCATGGTCGGCTTCAACACGAGTGGAAAACGTGATACTTGCGAGCGTTAAAGCAACTTGTAACAACAGGCGGTGAGGCGGGGCACGTGGGGAGAGCAGGATACCAAAGAGGCCGGTGTGTGGCAATGCCGGCGCGGCTGACCTCAGGGCATTGGAGGAGAGGCAGGGAAGGACTCTGAGTGCTGGGGGGACTGGCAGCAGTCCTGGGAGGGCTAGGGACAGGAGGGAGTGTTGCAATCACTATGACAAACAGGCCAACAGACAGGCTTCTTGTGAGCAGAGGTTTTGTAAGATCTGAGGAAGGAACGCCTAGCAGGCAGGGGTGTGGGAGGTGGTGTCAGACACAGGCATGTTCAGGATGCACAAGAGACCCGGCCGTGGCCAAGATGGCACCGTTCCAGTGAAAGTGGGATATGCAGTTTGGCATAGCAGTTGGGAGCAGGGCCAGACTGGCCAGATGGGCTCCTGGCTCTGCTGTTCGCTGGCTGTGAGGCCTTGAGCAATTGACTTGATGTCTCTGTGCCACAGTTTCATCTGTCCAATGGGAGTAATAGCAGGATATACCACAAGGGGTTGTAGATGCGTGTCTCTGTTAGTATTCATAAAGTCCTGGGACCAGCAGTTAGTGTAATGGCTATGTCGCTGGACTCCCACATAGTTGACCGTGGTTCGCGTCCCGGACCCGGTGGCTTAAAACTCAGGCCGGGCTCATGTGCATGCGTGCCCAAGATCCCAAGAGGAGAATGGAGGAGAAGGGATTGCAGTATGGCCATCCCCCCTGGGGGGTGATTTCACGCTTTCTGTCTCTGTCTCTCTCTGTCTGGCGGGCGAGCGCACACGCACTATCGCAAAAACCTCTCCAAAAAAAAAATTCATAAAGTCCTGAGAGCAGCCCCTGGTACATAGCAAGCCCTATATAAATGTTAAATAATTAAATATAGAGACTCTGTCACCAATACCATTTGTCGATGTGAGAGACCATTGAACAGGGCAGCCATGTGTAGCTATAAGAGAGGGTTTCGGTTTTTGTTGTCGTTTTTAGCCATAGGGTGAGTGTGTTTGCCAGAGAAATACAGAGAGAGGGAAAATGAGAAATCCCTCAGGGGGATGGCCATGCTGCAGACCTTCTCCATTCTCCTCCTGGGATTTTGGCCACACGTGCACATGTGCCCAGCGTGATTTTCTCTTCTGCTCTTTACTTTTTTTTTTTTTTTAAGAGAGATTTTTGCTATAGGGTACGTATGCTCACCAGAGAGACCGGAAGTGAAAAATCCCCTGGAGAGGTTGGTTATTCACACTGCAGTTCCTTCTCCTCCATTCCCCTCTTGAGATTTTGGGCATGCACACACACGTCTGGCATAGGTTTCAAGCCACCGGGTCTGGGTCTGGGACTCCAGACCTTAGCTGTCACACCACCTGCTGGCCCTATTTGCATTCTTTTAAAGGAAATTCTCACCCTAGTGGGAATAAAAAGAGACTTTTCATCTACATCACATCAAAAGAAAATGATCCTGTTTGATTCTCATTAGTAATAGACCAATGATTATTAGTAAAACAATCACTATTAGCTCCATGTCCTAAGAGAAAACCAAACCCTGGCAGTAACCCAAACATACAGGTCAAAAACCGAACACTTGGTTTCCAGGTCTAGCCCCAAGCCATCCTTTCCACCCCACCAAACGGCATTGCTAGCCAACCAGTTGGCCAAAAGTTGTGGCGCCATCCAGGACTCCTCCCTTTTCATATGCGATTGTCTCTCAGGATCTCAGGGATTAGGGTTAGGACGTCCCCCAGTGCACTCAGTGGACACCAAAATCTGAGGAATCTCAAGTCCTTTCTATAAAATGGCATAGTATGAGAAGTATTTTAAAATTTCATTTAAAATGCATATTAGAAAAAAAATTGCATAGATTGCAAAAGAGTTTTGCTCAAAAATATTCATCCCTTAAAACCATTCTTCTACAAACTTATTATTTCTTTTTTTGAGAGGTTTTTGCTATAGGGCGCGTGCACTTGCCAGAAAGACAGAGACACAGAGAGATAGAAAGCGAGAAATCACCCCCCTGGGGAGATGCCACACCACAATCCCTTCTCCTCCATTCTCCTCTCAGGATCTTGGGCACGCCCACACACACGCCCAGTGTGAGCTGAAGCCATGGGTTCAAGGACTCAAACAATGGTCAACTACATGGGAGTCCAGTGACATAGCTATTATGCTAACTGCTGGTCCCTCTACAAACTTTCTGAAGTTCCATGTATGTACAAATGGCTTTTACAGTGAAGAAATGTTTGAAACTACCATCAAACTACATTAATATGAGAAGCAATTCTATTTTATCATCATCCTAGAGCTAAGGATTTTTTTAATCCTTTATATTTATTTCGAGAGAGATTTTTGCTATAGGGTATGTGTGCTTGCTGGAGAGACGAGAGAGACAGAAAGTAAGAAATCACCCCCTAGGGGAGATGGTCATGCCACAGTCCCTTCTTCTCCATTCTCCTCTCGGGATTTTGGACACACACACCCACACGTGCCCAGAGTGAGTTTTAAGCCACCGGGTCCAGGACTCGAACTGCAGTCGTTTATGTGGGAGTCCAGTGATGTAACCATTACTCCATCTGCTAGTCCTAATCCTTTCTATTTTTATTTCTAAAGGGAGGTTTAGAATGTCCTAAACATTGGAGTCACATGACAAGTACTTTAAATAACATTCCAATGAGTCTAAAATCATCCCCCAAATGCAAATAGAAGAAGGTGGCAGGTAAATCGTGGACTGAGGGCAAAGCACATTTTAGGTTTATTTCCAAGACTATTATAAATGTCAAGGTTCAGCTTATGTTGGGTGGGATCCAGGATCCGAGGTGTAGGGCGTCTGCATGAAGAATGGGAAGAGTGAGCCATAGACGGTTCTGTGCCCCGGGTGCGTTCAAAGGCAGAGTGACCAGAAGCGCAGACCGGACGCATGTTTCCAGTAACCCTCCCACGCCCCAACGGATGGAGCAGGACCTGCCAGACTGGTGAGGATACAAAGAGACACCCAGCTTCTCCACTCATCCCAGCCTGGAAAGTCTCCCCAATGTCTCCTCACTCTTCTCCCATGTCCAATTAGTGGCCAGACCCAGGAGGTTTCACCTCCTTATTATCTCGGGTAGGATCCTCTTTAATCTCACTATCTGCGCCTGCATCTTCGTTCCCACAGCTGCAACCTCTGTTTAGTCTCCTCGCTTCCCTCTGGGGTTGCTGCAGT